CTCAGTGTCTCTGACTTTTTGTGGACAGCTGCTGTGCAATTCCATGACATCTTGCTTTAGGCATGAAACTAGCTTTGAGCCAGTCACTTTCTCTCAGTCATAGGAAGAAAGCAATGGCAAACCATTTCCAAAATGTGGTCAAGAAAACTGCAGGGACTTATTTAGGCAGTTGCCAGGAATCAAGACTGATGTGAATCCAAATGATGATGATGATGTTCTTTAGCTTGGTTCCTGGTGTAGAAATGTTCCTATTTTTTTAGCACCAGTACAGAAAAGGTTTTCCATTGCCTTTTTGAAAAGATATTTTCCCCCGCACCCTGTCCCCTTTATCCCGATTTTCCTGTACCCGCACCGACCCCTCCCTTTCCCTACCCATATAAAATCTAATAAAATATATTTTTTTTTTAAAAAAGATATTTTTCCACCGTTCCAATCCAGCCTATAGTTTGCCAGCACCTTAATTTTTGCCAGTAACCAAGAACCAAGATGGGCTACACACACACTATCTATGACAGAAGATTTTTTTCTTGGAAAGTGGTAGGGGAAAAAATGTGTGGCATGTATTTGCCCAGTATGATTAGTAGACCAACCTCTACTCTTTTTGAGTTGGCCGCCCTTAGCAGTGATTATCCATGCTTTGATGATAGTCTATCGTGACAATCGTGCAAGTCCGATTGGGCTGTCCCTGAAAAAAAAATATCTGGAAATTATTGTTGGGGCCAAAGATAAGAGTTAGGCTACTTTTCAAGTACAGGTTTAGCATAATGCCTGTTTTGAAAGATCTATACTGATTGGTTCTTGGTTACTGGCAAAAATTAAGGTGCTGGCATTATGCTTTAAAGCAGGGGTAGTCAACCTTGGCTGTTTTATGACTCGTGGACTTCAACTCCCAGAATTCCTGAGCCATCACAGCTGGCTCAGGAATTCTGGGAGTTGAAGTCCACGAGTCATAAAAGAGCCAAGGTTGACTACCCCTGCTTTAAAGTCTCAAAGGGGCTGCTTCTCCTGTTAACAAAGTTGACCAATAGTTTTGGTCAACTTTGAAGTTGTCCCACAGTTACAGATCCTTCTTTCTGGCACATGGATGGGGGTTCTCATGCATTGCTCCTAGACAATGGAATATATTTATTCTACTTTGTGTTTAGGAAATCTGCAAAGATACCTTATTTTCAACACATGTTGTTGATATCCTTGTTAGAGTGGAATTTTTAACTTTTTGGTCCGCATATTGTTGGGTGCTTTGCATATTTGCCAAGCAGAAAGGCAGGTGTAAATCAAATGCACTTAATAAGTACTATGTACCAACAACCAGGTTTGGCCCTATATGACTGCCAAGAGGGAAAAGATGGCCAGATACTGCCACCTACTGTGACCTGCTAGAGCATGCTGGCTCTTAAATGCACACTGCAGTCCATTAAAAGGTTCCTTTGACCGGGCGAAATCTTCTCCAGCTGGGTGAACTTTGTGGGCGAAAGCTCTCATCAGCTCCCTCATCCAACCCTTCTCTTTCTCTGTACTCTACATCCTTTGTTCAGTTACCTTGAGATGGCCTCTGATACCTTATCTCTGCAGGTTAATAAATGCTCAGTTTTTTTTCTGATGCTGTTAAACCTATGGGCAGCAAATATTTTGGATCCCTGAATACATAAAAAATGTTTGAACTACATTGGCTACCGCCTCCTGCCACAGACTACCCCCCACCGACCTGTACGCTCTCACAGAGTGGGTCTCCTCAGGGTGCCGTCAGCCAGACAGTGCCGGCTGGCGACCCCAAGGGGGAGGGCCTTCTCTGTGGGAGCTCCCACCCTCTGGAACGAACTGCCCCCAGAGATCAGGGTGATCCCTGATCTCCCTTCCTTCCGCCGCGCCCTNCTCAGTGTCTCTGACTTTTTGTGGACAGCTGCTGTGCAATTCCATGACATCTTGCTTTAGGCATGAAACTAGCTTTGAGCCAGTCACTTTCTCTCAGTCATAGGAAGAAAGCAATGGCAAACCATTTCCAAAATGTGGTCAAGAAAACTGCAGGGACTTATTTAGGCAGTTGCCAGGAATCAAGACTGATGTGAATCCAGATGATGATGATGATGTTCTTTAGCTTGGTTCCTGGTGTAGAAATGTTCCTATTTTTTTAGCACCAGTACAGAAAAGGTTTTCCATTGCCTTTTTGAAAAGATATTTTCCCCACACCCTGTCCCCTTTATCCCGATTTTCCTGTACCCGCACCGACCCCTCCCTTTCCCTACCCATATAAAATCTAATAAAATATTTTTTTTTTTTAAAAAAGATATTTTTCCACCGTTCCAATCCAGCCTATAGTTTGCCAGCACCTTAATTTTTGCCAGTAACCAAGAACCAAGATGGGCTACACACACACTATCTATGACAGAAGATTTTTTTCTTGGAAAGTGGTAGGGGAAAAAATGTGTGGCATGTATTTGCCCAGTATGACTAGTAGACCAACCTCTACTCTTTTTGAGTTGGCCGCTCTTAGCAGTGATTATCCATGCTTTGATGATAGTCTATCGTGATAATCGTGCAAGTCCGAATGGCCTGTCCCTGAAAAAAAAAACAACTGGAAATTATTGTTGGGGCCAAAGATAAGAGTTGGGGTACTTTTCAAGTACAGGTTTAGCATAATGCCTGTTTTGAAAGATCTGTACTGATTGGATCTTGGTTACTGGCAAAAATTAAGGTGCTGGCATTATGCTTTAAAGCAGGGGTAGTCAACCTTGGCTGTTTTATGACTCGTGGACTTCAACTCCCAGAATTCCTGAGCCAGCACAGCTGGCTCAGGAATTCTGGGAGTTGAAGTCCACGAGTCATAAAACAGCCAAGGTTGACTACCCCTGCTTTAAAGTCTCAAAGGGGCTGCTTCTCCTGTTAACAAAGTTGACCAATAGTTTTGGTCAACTTTGAAGTTGTCCCACAGTTACAGATCCTTCTTTCTGGCACATGGATGGGGGTTCTCATGCATTGCTCCTAGACAATGGAATATATTTATTCTACTTTGTGTTTAGGAAATCTGCAAAGATACCTCATTCTCAACACATGTTGTTGATATCCTTGTTAGAGTGGAATTTTTAACTTTTTGGTCCGCATATTGTTGGGTGCTTTGCATATTTGCCAAGCAGAAAGGCAGGTGTAAATCAAATGCACTTAATAAATACTATGTACCAACAACCAGGTTTGGCCCTATATGACTGCCAAGCGGGAAGAGATGGCCAGATACTGCCACCTACTGTGACCTGCTAGAGCATGCTGGCTCTTAAATGCACACTGCAGTCCATTAAAAGGTTCCTTTGACCGGGCGAAATCTTCTCCAGCTGGGTGAACTTTGTGGGCGAAAGCTCTCATCAGCTCCCTCATCCAACCCTTCTCTTTCTCTGTACTCTACATCCTTTGTTCAGTTACCTTGAGATGGCCTCTGATACCTTATCTCTGCAGGTTAATAAATGCTCAGTTTTTTTTTCTGATGCTGTTAAACTTATGTGCAGCAAATATTTTGGATCCCTGAATACATAAAAAATGTTTGAACTACATTGGCTACCAAGCTTCTACAGATATGTCTTCCTAGTTGCCTTTTTGACATGGTCCTCTGAAAAAATCTTAGTAAACAAGATAATAAATTGTAAAATGGGATGGGGTTCTTTTTTCCCTATTCGCTTCTTGTTTCCAGATAGGACAATAATACCCATCAGAAATGAAGTATGATTGAGGGGGGACATGATAGCAGTGTTCCAATATCTCAGGGGCTGCCACAAAGAAGAGGGAGTCAAGCTATTCTCCAAGGCGCCTGAAGGCAGGACGAGAAGCAATGGGTGGAAACTGATCAAGGAGAGAAGCAACCTAGAACTAAGGAGAAACTTCCTGACAGTTAGAACAATTAACCAGTGGAACAACCTGCCTCCAGANAACAATATGTGTTGATTCTTAAATTTGTTTTCAGGTTGGTACATTCAGGACCCGGGAAGGGCTCTCCACAGTCTGGGGTAGATTTGTCCTTTGCCACTCGAACGGGCACACAACAAGGGATTGAGAGCCATCTTTTCAAAACCGAGACTAGCAGAGACCTTTCACTGTGGACCCGGAGCCTAGTTCAAGGTTGCCACAACGCAACTGAACTCTCTGTGGAAGTCACAACAGGTAAATCCAAATGCACAGAATCTTCTTGGCAATCAATTTCTCCCAGAGCAGGATAAATCTTGGTAGATCTTGTCAATAAACTAGATGGTGTTGAAAGGATTCTTTTGCAGTTTGGAGTGATTGGTTAAAGAGCAAAATCAATGCCATCCAACATCTGTTGCTCATACTATATGGCAGATCTTTTAAGAATGCTAGTCTGGACTGTTGTTTTGGTTAAATCCTTTGATCAATAGTCTGACTTGCACTTTAAAAGATATAGAGAAGAAGAGGAAGGGAGGGAGGAGAAAAGACTAAAGTCAACAACAGTTTTTTTTCCTGGAGATTAAAACAATTCAGGCAGCCTGATAAGAGATGGACATTGAGGAGAAATTGAGAGCAGAGCAATTGGCCTAGTCCCTTTCTCTACCTCTGTAGTGACCTGGTCAGAGAACCAAGGTGAGTTTTATTGGCTCAAGGCCACAAGAAGAGACAGAGGGAGTTCTATAGGATGGATTGAATGTCCATCTGTGACATGACATAGGATAAAATGAGGACAAGAACACTCACTCCCCGTGTCAAGGAAAGGCAGGATATAAATGTAATGTTTATCAATAAATCCTTGGCTATCACAAGAGCTGTCTTGGCATCTGGAAATTTTGAAAAGCAAGACCAATTGCTAAACTTCTCTTATTCGCTGAAAGTTTACACCTTACTCCATGTCCTTGACTGTAGTCATTTCCCAAAGGTTGATAAACCTGATTCAGGGATGTTATAAGATACCCAACTCCCTTTTTAATTAAACATAGACAGCAATTGGTATTACACTATGGATCTTACCACTTTTTAATGGTGCACGGTCAGCTATGCTGAAACCTTTGTGCTATATTAACCTCATTGTTACAATCATTGGAACTTCTTTCCAATTAGCAGGGAACTCATTAGCATTCCTATTAATCCCCAAGCTACTACCAACATCAGAGTGGCCTCATAATCTTTTATTAGCAATATCATTCTTCTAAAGTGCCATAAATCCTGTTTGTTCTTGTTTCCTTCTTCAGCTTGCACGTATAAAAACCAGGAGTGCCGTTTGACCATCCATTATGACCATGGATTTTCCCTCACAACTGAACCCCAAGTTGGTGCCTTTCCCAAAACCATCTTCCAGTATCCCTACGAGAAGCTAAAATCATCTTCAGATGATGGGATTCGGATGCTCTATTTGGACTTTGGAGGAAAGGAAGGTGAAATTGTAAGTGTGCTGGATTATTTGTTTTTCAACATAGCTGGAGATGAAGATTGTTATTATTTGTAGCATCTGATCCCAAAGGTGTTTTTTCAAGACTTTCTTGTTTTTCTCTGAAGACGTTTGGGACAACCATGACTTGGATTATTGAGAATCTCTATAGAAATGTAGCATCTGATTATTAGAAAACACAATCCCCACAGATTAGCTGTTCTGTGAAGCAGGAAAAGCACATTTCATGTCAGCATTCCTAGTCATTAATGAATGATCCCTTGCATGGTTAAAATTATTATCCATGGATATTCTCTGCAATATAAAACAAAAGAATTCTCTCCACGACATAGAAAACTCCATAATTACAAAGAAAAAGTCTAACCCTACTCATCTGGAGGTACTCTATAGACCTTGGAAAAGGCTGATGAGCATCATCTACTCCTTGGATCATATTTTGCAGTCCTACCTCCTTCCAAGAGAACATTTCTTCCTTCGGTGAAGGGCATTTCACATATGGAAACCCTACATACAGACAGGAATACACTTTCCTGTTCCTTAAATTCACAGCTAGAATTGAATGTAAAATTCTCTTTCTTTTCATGGTCTCTCAATTCAATTGGATTTTGGATAGACAGCCTGCTCCCCATTGCCCCCATCAGCAAACAGAATAAAATGCTAGACTTGGTTCTCCCTCACATCTCGTCTCTGATTTCCTAATATAGTTCCATGAATATAGTCATGGTAGAATTACAGTGGTAATCATATGTCATCCCCAGCCCTACACATAGACCAGATTAAGATCCAGTACCAAGGTCAGGACTACTTTTACTGAAACAGATATAGTAACTGAATTTTGCAAGTTTGAATGTGCTCTCTCTCCTTTATCTAGGGAGGGGCTTGTTTCAGACATTTTTTTCCCAAGTTATTTTCTTGGGCTAGGACTCAAGGCTTACTTATCTGGCAACTGCCTTGATAGTGACTCTTCTTTCTGTCTGTTAAGATCATTCCTGATGTAACATGCCTGAATTATGCTATTAAATAATCTATTGGGGCCTCAAAATGCGGTTACAGTGGTGTCCTGGTACTTGGCTTTAATTTGTTCGGAGAGGTGCGACAGGTACTAAAAAGGATGAGTCCCAAACAAACCATGTGACATATCATGTCAGCCTTTGTTTTTGCTGAGGAGAACTTTCTATCTGTCCCTTTTCCTATGACAATGACCTTTTGAGCGTGGCCAACTTCCTGTCCGCCCTCTGTGGCCAACCCCCTCCTTTTGCAGCAACCTTCCCAGCCTGTCCGTTCTTCACAGCTGTCCCCCTCTTCCTGTAACAGTGCGTCGAGTATTAAACAAAGGCCGAGTACTGGGACAAAATGTTTACATCAAAATGCGTTGAGAACCAAATTTGATGAGTTTTGAAGCAGTCAAGTACCAAGGTATCACTGTATTTGCCAAAGCTTCAGTCACAATGCTGAGAAATTCATAGTGCTATATTTCAACTAAAATATTTGGTTGCTTGGGCAACAAATTCTGGACCCAGTCCAGAATTAAGCACACACAATAACTCCTTGTCTCTTTGTGTTCTGATTTCAGCAACTGGACCTTCATTCCTGTCCAAAGCCGATTGTATTCATCATTCATTCATTCCTTTTTGCCAAGATTACAAGACTTGGATTGGTAGCATAAATTCTGTCTGTCATTGGCAAGAACAAGAAAAAAAAAATGGAACTACTCGAGTCCAAATCTCCCAACATGTTGTCAACACTGGGAGCTACTAGGAGAACATATAAACTCTTTCTGCAGATGACCTGAAGTTCAAATGGGGGGGGGGCAAAGTCAGTGTTTTGATCAAATATAATAATCAGGGCTCTGAAGAATAAAAGTTATAATATTTGCTTCAACTAAAACATGTTACAAGGGAAACAACGGTGATTGCTCTGAATAAAGCCAAAATTGAGTGATTAAGAAGTAAGAGATGAATGCTGTATGATGGCATTTTGGATTCATAAGTGTGCCTATATGTATGTTTTTAGAGCAGTACGTTCCATCTTGGGTTTTTGAGAATGTCTGGTCTTCCCTAGAAGATTCAGCAATTTTTCAATGAAAAGATTGGTGATGGTAGAGTAGCTTCTGTGAATGCTAAGTTTTTCCCTTCTCCCCTTCATGATCTTCCCCCACCTTTTAAAATGCACTCTCTATTTACCTCTAGTAGATCAGGCTGTTTTTGTAAACAGGTAACGTATTCTAAATCCTTTGCAAGGTGCAGAGAAACAGCACCTTGGATAGAAGTGGATAGAAATCCTACAGAGCAGGAAATCTGAAAACCACTGAAAAGTAAAAGCTAAGTAGATAGTTACCATCAAAATCAGGATTTTTAAACCGAACCCTATGTGCTACATACTTTTTTTTCTTGCCCAACTATCAGTTCTCAAAAAGCACAAAAAACGTATCTGTGTACAAATTAGTGGTTTACTTGTCAAGAAAAGGGATGAATTTGCAGTCCACTCTATCTGTTTTCTAATAAGGAGCACATCAATTTGTGTAACTCACGCGGTCAGGGCTCAAGTTGCTGTACGCCACGGCTTCCCAGCCTTGGCAACTTGAAGACGTGTGGACTTCAACTACCTGAATTTCCTGGGGCTAGGGAATTCTGGGAGTTGAAGTCCACATGTCTTAAAGATGCCAAGTTTGGGAAACTCTGCTGTAGGCAGACTGAGTTTGCTGACTTATCAAACCAGCCATAAAAAGGAACTCTTTGAGTGGACAAACTTGGAGCAACATCTTAAAAATATCTTTAGATAACATATTTCATAGACATAGGATACATTTGAGAATTTGTTGAAAAAACAAGGCCAATTCAAGTGATAAAATCCAAATAATGTAAGTTTTATAAGATTGCAGTTGTTCAGTTGGGGAGGGAGGTGGAATCTGGTATACATCATACATTTTAAAACATTACAATGGAAGTACAGTAAAAGCAGTGGAAACGATAAAACATCTTGAAAAGAGGAAATGTGGTCCAGAGTGGCTGAACTGTAGTTCATATGTGATGTTGTCAGTGGAATTTTGGCTCGTGCATTTTGTGGCTTGTAATTCTCTCGCGCTGTCCACAAACCCTTTTGCAACATTTGGCTGTAGGCCCTTCTAAAGCAAAGGAGACGTTTTTGTGATGAGGAAGAAGGCGGAAGCAGCCTCCAGGAGACAGAGGAAGATGCTGAAGAAATATGGATAGAAAGGATACAGAGGCAATGAAGTCTGAGTAATTTAGGACAGAAGCCATAACAATCAGCCGTGTGGAAAAAAACTGGGAACAAGGCAAAGAAGAGGAACATCAACCTCATCTAGAAGATCCACACAAAAACATCTAATAAGATCCATACAAAACATCTAATGCAGAGAGGAAGCAAGGAGTGGCTATTAAAGCTCAGAAAACAGGTTAAAGTTGGTGAGTGTGCTGTCCTTTATTAAGCGCTCAGGTCCAACTTGCAAAAATCAGAGCAATATCATGGGGTATCTTTTCCACCGATGTTCTGGAGACCTCACCTAAGTAGGGAAGAGAACCTTCTGCACCTTCCAAGGTCTTTTCCCTTTTCTCGTGGCTTTACATCAAGGAGGAGAGAAATAAATTATGTGTGATCTAGACTTTCCCCTATCACCCATACTCAGCATATTCTATCAAGGAAAGGAGATAACGGTCATTTTCCAAGATTTTGATCAACAATGTTTAACTAGAAGACTCCAAAGCTGATCAAGTCTAACTAGTTGAGATCTTAAATTTTGCGTTGTGGCAGTTAACAGGCATATCTGAACGTTGCGGTCTGTAGTTTGGGAGCTCTGAAACTTGGCATGGGCTGAAATCTTAGCGGCAGGGCCTCATCCTGGTGACTGACATTCATTGAATTAAACCCAAGGCATTAGGGAGCTTTAATCTTTTCTGTCTTGTTCTGGAGAACAAGGGCAATCAATCGCAGCAGCAGCAGCCTGAACTGCTGTTCTAGTGTCATTTTAAACATTGTTTTCATCTTGTCTAAAAAAAAAATAAAGTCTTCTTAAAGTTGCACTCAACTTCATAGATGCATCCATGTACTCTTTTTGGCTGCAATATGGACATGGCGTACAGATAATCCTCGGCTTATGACCAGGGGTACACAAGAGCCTGTTCTGAAGTTCTAATGGCCACACAGTTACGTGACTGCATTTCAGACACTTGGCAGTCAAGCCATAATTAAGGCTAATTGCAGCATCCCATGGTTCATGAGACCATGTTTTACAAAGTTTTTGCTGAAAACTGGCATTTACTTCGTTTTTAGCAAAACTGGCCCCTAGCAAACTTCACGACAGCTGCGGTCATTTAACGACTGCCAGAAAAGTTATAAAATCGAGTCAGTCAAGTGTGTGACCTGCTTTACCATCATCATAACTTACAATTGTGATGGCCAGGCTCCACAACGGTCATAAGTCAAAGAGTATCTGTACTATTGTCTTATCAAATGCTTTCACCCAGTCTGATCTCCAGCTATAGAGCTTTATTTGTGGTTTTTTCACCCAGGTACAAGCCACGTCCTATCCTGCTTAAGCTTTTTAATAACCTGCTAAATGACTGTCAGATACATCAAACTTAAACATTTTAATGTCTACATCAAAAGGCCAAAAAATAAAAAAAAACTTACTTGCAATATGGATGCCCAGAGACACAAATTAACTCAGTTGTTTTTTTTTTTAATTCATGGGCCATAGTAAATAAGGATGTTTTTAGGGTTGCTTAGATATATGTGGTCAGTTGGGGAAATGCCCCTGAATTTTCAGCCTAAATCCATAATATTTCCACACTACCTACAGATTACAAATACAATTTTGTATGAGGATAGAAAAAAATGGAAGCTAAGTGTAAATATATAAATTATGCTTGCTTTCAACTGCATTTGAAGAAAATTCTCTGCAGCATTACATCCTCCCTGAAATAATTAATCTAGGTTTCAGATAATTTGATTAGAATAAATAGGATTCATAAAGGCTGCTGTGTTAATTCTTAAATGCGATTAAGGTAATCTTAGAGAATATCTGAAACAAGGTTGGGCTGTTAACCATAACTTAAGATTTTACACCTGCAGAAGTCTAGGTAGTTCTATAAAATAATTAATTGTCAATGGAATATCTACCATATAATTTCTTTCGTAGCATTTTGTTAGTAATATAAAATTAACTTAATAAAAAGCTGCTTGATTTTGAGCCTACGTTATCGCTATATGCCCAGTTTGTGCCTAAGCTTCCATTTTTATTTCATTTGGAGTTTTAAATATATATATCCAGAGGTCTCTCTACTTTAAAATAAATATATTTTTGCAGATACGAAATTTCCATTGGTTTGTGTGTCAGTGAAAGAATGACGTACAAAATTTGTGATTTAAACGGCATTTTGTGGAGAAAAAAATAAGGAATCTCAAATAACCCTTTCCAGTGTAGCAGGATTTTGAAGTTCCTTCCATGGCAGTATTTATTATTGTGAATGAGCAAAAGCCAGAGCATAAAGTAGAATATTGTGTATTTTAGGAAAAGTTCATGCATATGTAAATTCTATTGTACTGCTACTTTCAATACTCCCCCATTAGAATAATATATCTACTTTGTATATAATCAGGATTAATTCATTAGTTATATCATGTATTGTACGGTGCTCAAATCACAACATGAAGTGAACAACTAATTTGCAAAAAGAAATATATATATTTATAGTCAAATACAGATTTGAACGACTCTAGATGCGGTTACTTTAGATGGGGTTGACAGAATGAATTAAATGGAACTACCCCAGATTTATAAGAATTTAATCTACAATATTTATATTTTCAAGAGGGAGAAAAAAAGACTATATTTAATAAAGTGTCACTTATTGGATTTTTTTGGTGAGGTGATAATTTATTTGACAAGAAGAAAGTCATAGATTTTTGCTCAGTGGTTTCAGCCTACTAAAAATTGTAAAAAAACAACAACAGTGACGTACTGATTTCACAGAATGGGAATAATTATTCGAGGTAAGTTCTCTTACTAAACCACTACTGTTCAGTAGTTAAGTTCATTGACAGGAGTATCAACTTCATGGCATTTCACACAAATATATTACGGCAATGGTTCTCAACCTGTGGTCCATGGACCCCTGGGGGGGTCTCAATATCTTCACGGGGTCAACAAAGACTTGAAGAAACGTTATGATTTAAATCTTGAGTTAAGTCTTGGGGGTCCATGGCCACAAAAGATATTTAAAGGGGCCCGTGGTAAAGAAAAGCTTGAGAACCACTGTATTACAGTATTAAGTTTGAGAACAATGGGCTGCAATCAACTTAGCAAGTGGATTTCTCTCCAATCTTCTGGGATCTTTATTCATACCCATAAAAATGAAATCTACTACGAACATCCAGCATTTCATATCAAAACATACATTTAAAGCAGGGCCTTCAGATTGTAGAATTAAGAACGGTCAAAGAATGCAAAGATATGAATCTATAAATTCAAGGATGGCAAAACATTTGAACAGAAGACATGTCAGATGGAATGAGAGGTAGAGTACAATTCAGGAAATGAAATGAATTTAAATACTTAGTGTTTTGAGTTATTCTACCTTTTTCCCCTAAAATCTTGACAAAGTTGCTTACCTTTTAATCTGAATAATTTTATTGTCTTGCAAAGTGAGTGAGTTGGAACTTGCAACAACTCAAAGTAGTTTTTCCTGACAGTCATGGTATTTTCCTAGAATTTCATGTGTCCCCCCACCTTTAAAGCAGTTGAAATGCCTGGTTTTAAAAAGTACTTGTTAAGCAATACTTAAGTTTATTTAAACAGACTATTATCTAATTTAACCAAGCATTCTGCACATTTGAATATAATAAAGAATTTACGTTTACAGAGCTAAGTGACTTTCAAGTCATGCAGACAGGAAAGATGGCTTAAGGAATTCTTTTTATTC